TTATGATTCTGCATCTGCATTTTTTTATTCTATTTGCATTAATGTGCAGTGTAGTGTCTGGAAAATTTTCCCTAGCTAGACATGTGGTTTTTGATACCTGGGTATCTCTATCACAGAGTTGTAAGAGTATTTATTTATACAGGATTTTCATGTAGTAGGATCACAATGAATAACCATAAGATGTTACCTATGTGATACCCAAACACAGATACTGACATGGACATGGTGGGTTATGGGGATAGAACTCCATTTTCCAATATTCTGGACACGGATATGGATATCACATATAATATGCTTATTTCTATTATCTAGTTTTTGAAGCTAAGCTTGATTTCTTAAGGTTTATGTCTTGCCAAATGATTTGTTAAAACATACCATTTTACATATTTTAATAGTGTTGATGCTATATAGAGTATATCTACAAGTGGTTAATGCAGTATTTAATCTTGTATCAGGTGCATATCCTGCCCAACATTGGTACACTAGTCATGTACAATTATCTAGGTATTATAGGATATTACTGTATCGTAGTTGGTATCTAGTATATGAATAGTAAAGGATTTGTTTATAAAAAAAAATGGTAAAAGAATCCCTTAATATTGTATAAAAATTTCTTAATTTTATGATGATAAAAGAATAATTTCTTATTTTTTGAGACATTTTTGTTTCTTCAGCTGTATTTATTCCCCTGACATGGGGAGAATAACCAAATTCCTCATTGAGCCTCTCTCTTTGCGAATCCAAGCATGTTTTAATTTCTCTAGTGCGTCTTGCTGGTTGCTCATGATTTTTGGATGTTTTTTATGTTACTTGAGGTGGATAGATTTGTCATTGGCTTCTCTATTGCACCTAGACCTGTTCATGGGCTGGGTCAGGCCGGGCTCGGGCCGGGCTTTCACTTGTCATTAAGGGAAATATGCTAGGCCCAAGCCCGAGCCCGGCCCTGATAAAAAGCCCGAAGCCCGAGCCCGAGCCCGAGCCCCAAGCCCGACCTAATAAAAAAAAAATAATTTTCCCATTCAAATTAGAATTAAAAATTCAGATAGTTTTTTTTTTCCTACTTAAATGAACAATGGGCCTACAAGATGGTTTTTTCCCCCTTTCTTTTATATTTTAAAACACAGTTTTACATTCTTAAATCAAAAAATTTATTCAAATGGACATAATCACATTACTCACTTTAAGTCTAATATTAGGTTGGGCCGGGCCGGACTATTTTGACAAAACCCGAGCCCGGCTCGAATTTATTGTGGGCTGGGCTTTTTGGCCCGAATTTAAGCCCGCGGGCCTGTAACCATGTTCAAGCCCGTCCGGGGGCCGGGCCGGGCCACCCGACCCATGAACAAGTCTAATTGCACCAATAGCATCACTTTTTTTTTGGGTCCCCAAAATTCACCAATAGCATCATATCCTTCTGGATTGAAGCTATAATCGTGTCAAATATTTCTAATTTCCAGGGTTTACTAACAAAGTGAGGGAGTGGTGGCATGAGTGTAACTCGTCGGTGGAGTGGGAGGGGATAAAATTCCATAAGAAACTACAATTCTTGAAAGCAAGAATTAAGGAGTGGAACTTGATGGAGTTCGGGAGGACAGAAGAAAGAAAGGGAGACTTGATGAAGAAGATTGAAAGCCTTGACTTTAAAGAGGAAAGGGGAGA